AAGAGGTGCAATTGAGTGGCCCCCTCGGTCACCCGACTTAAATCCTTTAGATTTCTTTCTCTGGGGGCACATTAAAAGCAAAGTTTACAGCACTCCACCTGATACCTTGGAAGATCTGCGAGGACGAATCATTAATGTATGTCGCGAAGTAACACCGCAAGTGCTCCAGAATGTTCGACAACGGTTTGAAGACAACCTGTATCATTGTATGCAAGTTGGCGGACAACATTTTCAGCATTTACTTGACTAATACCGTAAGTTTTGAAGTAAAATTAAATCGATTTTCGCATTTCTCGTCAAAAATATTGTTCGTATTTTCAAAGCTGCATATTTTCTAAAATAATGAATCGATTTTCAAAAAGTAAGAATCGATGTATAGAGAATTAAAAGCCCTTTCTAATGACCCCCCACTTGACCCCCATTCCCATTTGAAAAAATTTAGGGGATAGCACCCCCACTTAGGGGGTTGAAGATTTTGGTATGCTTTTTGAGCCAAAAGTTGTCCCCCTCAGAAACAAATTTGACCTGTTTTTGGATTTTGCCGAAATGTTCTTTACTACCCTGTAATGCCTTGCGGTACGTTTTCGATGGGCTACCCTGTATAATCGATAGGCTATTGATTATATGTCGTGGTAGAGGAAATCGTGGAAAAATGTATCTAAAAATAAAAATGTAATCACAAATTTTTGAGGAAAACGAAATAAAAACGCCAATACAGCCAACTTAAATTTCTAGTCAAACTTAATTTTGTGTGAGATAGCTTGATTTTTCTTAAAGATCTGAGCTAGCATGTTTTCCAAGCTTAATTTGAGGTAGCAGGTTTTCGTAGTAACACGTCAATGTACACCCTGTAATGTACCACATGGTTCTCTGTTATCACCACCTCCTGCCGTAACCTTTTCCTTTGTACACCCTGTACGTCAGCAAATGTTAAGGCGTCTTGAAATTCCCTGCGAACATATTTTGAGAAAGCCTCTGTATTTCGCGGCTGGATGGATAGGGACACCCGGAGATAGAATTGAAACGCCCTGTCAAGGCGTATCGGGAAAGATACACGATGCATTTGATTATTTTTGTAGCGAACAAGAGGCAGACACGGCATGAAAAGGGGAGGTTTATAGATGGGAAATTAATAAAGCTGTCAGTTATCAGCGGAGCGACGCATCCGTGCAGAACATTTCAATCTGATGAGCCGGCGACCGTGATGTTTGCAGACGCAAATGGCGCTCCGCGTTATTTTAAAATGCACAACGGGGGGATGATTTTAAAAATCGGAGTGGTACGCCAGGTCTGTCGCCCCCTGATCGAATTATCAGCTTGTTTCCATAGCAATTGCTAATCGGAGTGCGCCATGCGGATCACTTCTGCACCGAAGAGTGCCAATAAGCGACGCGGTCGGGATGCGCGCGCGCCGCGA